AAGAGTTAAATTTAGGTAAACTATTAATTCTACCTGTATGATGCCGGAATATACACATTTTTAATGTACAGTCGTATTTAAATTAGTTGCTCACTCTTGAATCTTGATTTAAGAAAAAAGATATTTGGGATAATTAACCTTACACGTGATAATTTTATAAATACTGGGTTGCAGTTCAACTGTTGAGGATTACGCAATGACCAAGCAAGTTTATGTGGTTTATTATGTGGTTCGAAGATGCCTACCAATAGGGGTGAAAGTCGGATGGATCGGATCGGAATTAGCCTTTTCGGAAAATTTCCAAAAAAAATCGGAAGTACAAAATCAATTCCAATTCCAATTCCAAAATTTTCGGAATCTAAAAATTCATTCCAATTCCAAAAGGCCCGGAAATTTCGGAATTTCGGAAAAAAATCGGAAATCACATATGCTTTAAAATTTCAAAACTTAGCCGAAATTTTCTAAAATGTTCGTAACTTTTCGAAAATAAGAGCATCCACATCGATAAAAGTAAAACTAATAACTACTAAATTTCAGCTCAAAAAAATAAATACAACATAATATCCAATAAAACTTCTAACAATAATTCATTATTTCAAAATCCTAAAACAAAAGTTATAGGTGTATTTTTCGGAAAACAAGTATTATATAATATATATACTATTTATAGGTGTATTTTTCGGAATTAATTTCGGAATTAAATCGGATTGGAAATCGGAAATTCCAAATTTATTTTATATAATTCCAATTCCAATCCAAAAAAATCGGAAAATTTCGGAAATCGGAATTTCGGAAGTCGGAATGAAAAAAGTTGTTCCAAAATCGGAACTTTTCGGATCGGAACCGGCGGAAATTGGAAAATCCGTTCCAACTTGCACCCCTACCTACCAATAATTAACTTTTACTCTTTTACTTTAAGTACAACATGTGGGAATTTTTTAGTATTTCAAGACATGCAAGGAGTAAATTGTTAATTAAATGTACATTTAGGTACTCTTCAACTTAAACTTATTTGGCTATCCTGATTCGCCCTGATTAGGGGTGCAAGTTGGAACCTAATTTCCAATTTCCGCCGGTTCCGATCCGAAAAGTTTCGATTTTGAAACAATTTTTTTTTATTCCGACTTCCGAAATTCCGATTTTCGAATTTTTTCAATTTTTTTGGGTTGGAATTGGAAATTATATAAAATAAATTTGGAATTTCCAATTTCCAATCCGATTTAATTCCGAAATTAATTCCGAAAAAATCCGATATTTTTCCAAAAAATACACCTATAAATAATATATATTATATAATATTTATTTTCCAAAAAATACACCTATAAGTTTTCTCTTAGGATTTTGACATAATGAATTGTTGTTACAAGTTTTATTTGACATTATGTTGTGTTTATTTTTATTTATTTTTTTAACTACAATTTTGTAGTAATTAGTTTTACTTTTATCGACGTGGATGTTCTTATTTTTGAAAAATTATGGACATTTTAGAAAATTTCGGCTAAGTTTTGAAATTTTAAAGCTTATGTGATTTCCGATTTTTTTCCGAAATTCCAAAATTTCCGGGCCTTTTGGAATTGGAATGAATTTTTAGATTCCGAAAATTTTGGAATTGGAATTGGAATTGATTTTGTACTTCCAAATTTTTTTGGAAATTTTCCGAAAAGGCTAATTTCGATCCAATCCATCCGACTTTCACCCCTAGCCCTGATGGTTCCTAACACGTAAATGATTGTATTAAATAAAATAATTATTATATGTTTGATTCAACATATACGTTTCCATCTTATTTGTTGTGTAATTTCTTTTCATGCCTAGTCATTATTTAAATTTTGCAATATACTTTATAGAGCAAATGGAAAATAGACTATGATAAAGGCACTTAATTCAAAAGGGATATCCAACTTTGTTGTTTTGCAAATATTTCTGGCTAATTCAAACTTATTTGCAAATAAGGAAAACTCTTTTATATACACCAAAATAACCCAATTCAACTTCAATTTCATGATTTACACCTCAATTTAGCCCAATTTTACCAATTAACCAATTTTGACCATAATTTTAATTTTAACCCCATTATGACCCACCACCGTCGGTCAGCCGCCGTTGACTTTTTATTTTATTTTTATTTTTTTACTTTTATTTTTGAAAACCTTTTTTTTTCTGAATTTTTTTCCCGGTAGGTCAACCGCCGTTGACCGCCGGATCTCCGGCGTTGACTTTTTTTTTAATAATTTTTAATTTTGTTTTTTCTTAATAAGTTATTTTAATTGATATTACTGTCTTGTCTGCTAAATTACTGTCTCCAGCAGTTATTTAACTGTCGGGGACAGTAATTTAGCTGTTAATTACTCATAACCAGCTGTCGTTGTATTATAAGTCTATTATTCATAAAAGATTCACTATATGTCTATGCAAACCTAGTATAAATAAAGCATTAAATAACAAGTCTCGTAAACGACTACCTAAGGTATTATCTATATGTCTACGATAATACATGCAATTGACACACTCATCCGGTGAAAACTACTCGAAGGCTCTTCTATCCCTGTTCTAATTATTAAAACGATCTGTCAATCAATTCTAACAATAACACATAGCAACATAAATTAGCTAAGTTCATGCGCTAAATAAGATCAAATAGAAGAAATAATCATGGAATTTAAACTTGCATAATATTAGAAAAATAGGTTCGAATTACCACATAGGGTTCAAATAAAATCCTAGATTAAAAGCTTAGCTACTCGTAATTCTTATGATAAACAAAATAAAAATAAAAGAAATAAGAAAAACTATGCTTGAGTCTTCGTTGATCTTCGTTCTTCGTGTTTTGTGGTGTAAAATTTCGTGCTTATGGTGTAGAGACTTGTTGCTTTTATAGGCTTTTCTTGATAAGGAAGTAGTAGAAACCTAATAGGATTCAATTTCCGCCACTTTCCCCCATCAGGATTTGTTTGTCGATTTGCGCCATGTTGGAGTCCGAATTTTGGAATGTTGTGTAAATAAGAATTGTAGCCCTTGAAATTAGCTTTCCAATGCCGCCAAAATCACCTAATTCGGAGTTCGTATGAGAGAGATATGCTTGAAATCGTGGACACTGTCAAAGCTGTGGCGAGATTCCTTCTTCCAATTTGATTTGTTTCCTTATTTACAACTTTTTCCTTTCTTTTTGATCTTTTTTTCTTCATGGACACCCAATTCTCGTTTTTCACCTATAAAACACAAAATCAATCAATTAAAGCACAAATATAATTAAATCTAAACAAAAGATCCACGTAAAGTAAACGTATTGAGTGTAATATCTACACTCAACAATAAGTATAAAAATTATCTCAGATCTGTAGTCTACGAGTCTCAAATTGCCGTCGATAGATTTTGCGGGTTGAGAGAGTTTGAGAGAAATTAGATTTTTAGATTTTAAGAGTTAATAAATATTAAAATTACTTTCTGAACTATAAATTTTAACTCTGTAAATATCATTTCAGCTCTGATAATGAATTTTCACGTTAGAAGGACTTTCTAACTTCAGAGTGTTGGTCGATATAGTTGTAACATTTGTGTCCGATGAATGTACCTTATTTTTAACACATTTTCCTTATTTTTGTTTTTTTAATCAATTATTTTATTTTTTACTCGGTACTTACATAATATTGAAAGTTTTTAGTTTATTATTTTATTTAAAATATATTTTGTATTTTTTAAGGTCGTGAAGTCACTTTGCCTACGGAACTATACCCAACGTGTAAATTATTCCCTCCCCTAAACTTTAAAATAATCAAAACAATCCCTCTAAATTTTGGTCAACGTTAAAAGACGGTAAAAACATTGACATCGTTTATTTCTATGTGCAATTCCATTTCTACCCTTTAGTCTTCTTCCCTTCTTCCCACCTTTCTTCTTCTGTCTTGTGGGAAGCTTAATGATT